AGTTCTAGGAATTCTGAATGGTCCAGAATAGAAATAGAAAGAGAGAGAGAGAGAGAGAGAGAGAGAGAAGAAGTAATATCTGAAATTCTTTTAGCCTCAGTCACAGAGCAAATATTTTCTTCTGTCTTCACAAATAATTAAGATTTAGACCTGCTGGCTAATTCTCTATGGCCATATCATAAGTCATAGAGGAATTTTACAAGGTCTTGGCTGTAATAATATGGCTAAGCAGTAGAATAGCTATTTAATCAATACATTTTTGCACTCTCACATTTTTGAGAGGATTAGTATTGTGGCACAGTCTAAAATAACAGTGTAAATTTAACAGGTTAGCAGTCTTAGATATAGAAGTCTTAGATATAGTGAACCAGTGTCAACTAGTACTGCTGCAGTGCTGAAATTAGGCTTCATTTTAAAACATTACAAAATGGAGACTAGGCTCCATCTTATAATGTCTTATAATGGAGTAGAAAACATCTGGTGCTCGAGCTGAGAAAATTATCATTAACCTGGAAAAAAAAACAGTAAAAACATAAAAACATCCAGGAAAAGACAATAGGTGCAGACATGTTGTGCAGAGGTAAGACACGTGTCACACAGTTTCAGAACCTACTTTCTCTTTCAGCCAGCCCTTTATTTAGAGATAATATATTCAGACATAATGAACAAACCCTAAAGTATATAAATCCCCTAACACTACAAATACATATTTTCCCAAAGTTATGAAGTACTAAAAAAACATAGTTTTCTTTCTTTCTTTTTTTTTTTTGACATGATTGTGTTTGGATGCTCAAAATTTATGAGTTCATAGATCGGTCACACCTTGCAGTATACCAAGACTGGAGATGATAACTCTTCTAACCACATGTACTTTACCACGAGCATTAAAAACAATTACTTAGGAATAGTCATTTCTAGGAATTCTGAAAATATTTTAGTTCTAATCATTAGCAAGTGATTACAGAAAAGACTAAAACGTTACCTTTACCCATTCAGTACATAGCTCTGTAACTTCATACACTTGAAAACTATAATCTTGCTAGATGTTTTCTTCTTGCATATGTGCATCTACACGTATATCTATCTGTGCACTATTATAAACTCAACTGTCAATGAAAGCAGGACCTTTAGATTTCAACATTTTTCGTATGTTTGTAACAGGACAGAAAACTGTTGATATTACATGTACCATCTACAAAAATCAGACCAGCTTGACTTCAAGTCTTTTGGATAGACGCAACAGCCACTTAATGCTTTCCTTTTCCCACTGGCAATTTTCATTTTTATCAACATTAATATGCTCTGAGAATATTGTTAGGCCATGCTTTTAGTCTTCATACCTCAACTCCTTTCTCCTCCTGGCACAATACTGAAAATACCAAACCTTGTGCCTGATCCAAAAGCCTTGTTTGCACTGATCAGCTGCTCCCTGTCATTTTTTATTCTGTTGTGCACAGGAAAATGAATTTTAAGTTATGGCACTGACTAGACCTAGTTGCACATAAACACTAAATATGTCTTTTTTTGTGTTCTTCCACTCATTTAAGAAATAGCCTGAACACACAAATAAATCTTTTAGGGCCTGGTTCTACTTGAGAAAAGGCAAACCAGTGATTCCTCTGAACGCAACCCATCAGATTACACTAATTTCTGCACATACAGTGCCATGATCTCCCTCTGGTGACAGATGAAGTTCTGGGTATTCAACACTCGGAAGCATTTTGCATTAAACAGAATCCTTCTCAAAGTAGTGGTACCTCCTGATCATGCTCATTCTGTGAACTCAGAAAGCAGCAAAAAGAAAGGTAATGATTTCAGAATTCTTCTGAAATTTGTATTAATCATCAAAGATCCACTTCCTAGTGATGGAGGATAGAGATCTACGTTGGTCGCTAAAGTCACTTAAGGGAAAATCTCCCCTGCATCTACCAGAGAGCAGATGTGCACAAAATGAGCGAGGCCCCTCGCTAGGCGGGCGCATGGGCTGGACGTGGAAGTGCTCAGAAGGAGGAAGATGCAGCTGGGGAAGTCTGCAGAGCTCTGGACCTGTGAGGGGAAGCCCAGGGTGGATGCACACAATTAAAAAAATAAAAAATAAATAATAAAAGTGCATCCAGAGGAGAGGAAGTGTAAAGCTGGATCCCTGAAAGTTCCTATCATTAGGAGTAACTCAGAGGGAGCTGCAACCATAGGGGGAAATAGTGGGGGCACCAGTTTGGGGAAAGTGTTCTGGATGTTTTGTCTAGCATGGGGAAGAAATTATATTCCTCATGCCCAAGATGCAGAAAACTCATAATCATTGGTCTCCCACAAATATTTCTGCTGTAATAAGAACTGGAAAAAGCAATGGTAATGTTGCTTATTCTTTTTATATATGCTAAGAAAGTGATTTCATTCACTAGCAGATGAAAATAACAGATATTTCAAAGCATGAGATGCTTTGGATGGAGAGATGCTGTCCTTTGACCTACAGGGTGCCCGTTATACTCATTTCTTCCAGGACTGATCCTGCAGTCTTGACTCATGTGAGGAGGCCAACAGAAGGCAAATGGTTACTTATTTGACTAAGGGCTGTGCAGCAGGCACCAAGTTTGGCAATTTTGCTTGATCCCTCTCTACAATATGGCCTTTTAAAATCAGCGCATTGTTTTTATTTCCATTATTTAGCTTTAAAACAAAAAGGAAAAGAAAAAACCTGAGAAGATCATAAATATCAAATCAAAAATCAAACAGAAATAAAAAGACCATAAAACTTTCATTTAGTGGGATGTATAATAATATGAATAAATAAAAATACTAAGAAAGGCTAAATCAACGATGCTACATAGATGGCAACACATCTTACTTCACCGTTATTTGTTATCAAGAAGACATGCAGTCTAGAAATTCATGACAAACACACTGACAGAAGCCGTAAACCATAAGAATAACAAGGCTTGAAGGAACAAGGCTTACAAAGACAACCCCAAGGGTGACTTTCTTAGATACCAGCAAGTAAATCCCTAAAGGCAAGGAGCTAAAGTACAGCAAACCTAGCAACCAAACTAGCACCCGAATTGAAGTCTGGAAGAGCAAAGATGTGCAGTTCCACACTGTCCAGTTGTGGGATACAGTTGCAACAGAGTCAAAACTTGCAGGCCTGTAAAATTCCACCACAGGGGTTGCGTTCAGGGTCTGGGGACTTTCTCTTTGTACTTCCATGATCGTTATAACCAGGCAGTTGGAAGAGGTGTGAGAAGGACTAACGAGGGACGCCAGCCTTTTGGGGGTCAGCAGCAGTTCTGTTGGGTTGTCTGGCAGGCACTTCTTCCCCTTTCCCCCGCAAGCTAAATTCAGAAGGATGTTGTTGTCATCAGGAAGACTACTAACCTCGTCATCTGGCAGACAGGTTTCGAACCTACAAAAGGGGCACACTATGACTCCTTGAGGAGAGTCTCCAAAGTCTATGATCTTGCAAAGGCATTTGGCACATACTCGGTGACAGCACTCCAGCACTTTTGGTTTCCTCTGTCTCAGGTTATAGCGGTTGTAACAGATCTTGCACTCCAGCTCATCTGAGCTTTGGGGCTCCACAGACTCCTCTGCTGATTGAGCGGCCATTTCTTCTGATCGTTTTTGGACTTGCGGCAAGAGGAGTCAATGGACAATTATGTCACTTGGACTGATTTTTATTTTTTTTTCCTGATAATCATTTCACCCATGTCTTTCAGGAAAGGAGGAGATGAAATTGTCAAAAAGCATCAGGAGGAGTCATCCATTTTCAGCTTCTGCTAGAGATGCTGTACCACAATTCCGCTACTCCAAGCCAGGCATCCATGTAAAAAAGATAAGCTGGAATTCCTGTGTGGGAAAAAAAAAAAAAAAAAGGAAGAAAGAAGATCGAAAAAAAGCTGTAGAAGGGGAAACAAAGGAGCTTTTTAAAAGCTTAACTCTTCTTGCTAGGAATACTTACAAGGTATTCTTCTCTAAGGCCATTCACCTACAGTTTTTTTTCTGTGGCATATGAGGTATATATTGCAGTCATGATGATAAAAATTTGCTTCACTCTGCACACATTTTTTTTAGACTTACGAGTAGCTTTGACTCCCTCAGCCCATGACATTCTCAGCAGAGGATGCAATCTAATCACTGATGTGTGACTCCTTCTCCTAAATTCAAGCACCTGTGTTCTCAGAACCGTGGGTACTGCACTGCATTGGGCACACTCTTAAATCCATTTCTAAGCACTGTGAATGAAGCGGTCTAGTACTGGGGCCCAGCTGCTTCGTCCGGCTCCCTCTGCCTGCAAAAAAATGCAGGCCAATGGAATATGAAGAAAAGTAAATTGTTGTTTCTTCATTATTAATTTTAGTAAACGTTTGTTTTACGTTTACTAAAACGTGTATTTTTTGTCTTCCTTTGGAAATTTTTATTCACTCCTAGCATCCAGGTATTTGTCCTTTTTTAAGAACAACAGAAAAGTCTCTCTTTTCAGCAATGTGCTATTTCTGTCAAGAAATTTCATCTGCTATCCACCAGGTACTGTAATGTCTCTTTCATGGGTCTCTTGTTCCTCCTATCCTTGAAAAAAAATTCTATTATCTGTCTTCCTGCACAATATAGGCTAGTAACACAGTAAAGAAAAAAACGGGCTCCTCTCCATTCTACTTTTTTTTAAAAAAAAACTTTTCCAGCTTCTTCAGTGCTTCAAGTTTCTATCTCTGCCTTACAATTATTTTCATTATTTGTATTGTTACTATACTTGTGGTGTGTCCATTATGTTACACAACCACAAAAAGATTGCTCCAGCATCCTCAGAATGTACAAGCTAAACATTTTACGAGAGACAAAAGTTAGATCTTTTACAGCTCTTATAATCTATCTTTTATCCTCGGTCACACTTGGTGTTTCCTTATTCATTTATAGAACTCTTTTTACTTCATTCCAAATATCATAATCTGAATGACTTTTAGGCACACGTAAAGGTCACAACATGCTAACTTACCAGGATGGGAAAGCCGCACAATGGACCTAGGAAGTGAAATGCCAACCTACGGGCGGGCAAAGCACCACTGCAAAAGTGAGAAGCAAAAGGAAAAGCATCACTGAAAAAGCAGAAGCAGAGCCAACAAAGCAAGCTATGGCTTTGAACTTTTAAAGTTCAAAGTATCATTAATTTTCCATACCTGCAGTGAATTAGAATAACATGCAAATACTTCACAGTTAAGGCTGGCAAGCATTGTCCTATGACATAAAACTAGATTATTGTTTAGCCAGACACCTTCCAGACAGGATGTCTGCTTCTCATGGAAAACTGTGACCTTTCTCTGATACCTCCCACGCTGAAAATGTTTGTGTTTTGTTGTTTATCTTTTTAAGAAATACTTCCGAGTTTTCACAAAAAGCAGACCACTTTCCAAACAATTCTATTCACACATTTATCATTTATGCCTAAATGCACTTTTGAGGAAAGACAGGAGGAAAACTGACAGAATTTTCTTGATTTAGCCACTCTTGCATTACTGATAAGAAGTCACAACTCTTGCTGTCTTGCTCAGTAGTAAACTGGGATTATTAATTTTAAGAAAGCAGTGATCCTGTTATTCAGGTTTCTGTCTTGAGCTATTTTGCAAATTATTTTTAAATGTATTTTACTGCATGTACAAGAAAGAACTACTTTCACCATGCCCCTCTTTTCACATAGTCTCTTCAAAATATATAAGTATTAAACATTATTGCTTGTATATGTTCTTCTTTGGCTAAGTCAGATGTTGAATTTCTCCTTACATTTTATGGTTTCATTAATGCTCACTATTCTGCATTTATATATGTTTCCCTGGAAAAATTAAAATGTAACCATTAATCCTTATTAGTGCTACTCCCGCATTATCTATTCTTTACCTGAATCCTATTCTTTAGGACCTATTAGGACCCTTCTTTACCTGAGGGCCTCAGTCCTGTTGCATTTTTGGGTGATTCTGCCTTTTAGCTTTTCTTTCTTTTTCCTTCCTCATATCCATTGTCACTGTTAGGCCTGAAACTGAAAACTGGCACCTTTTTGAGCTGCATGTTCATGTTCTGTCTTCTTCTCTTTTCCAGTTACGTTATTACATGATGTCACGTGAAAGTGTTTCCCTATCACATTTTCAAATACCCCATTAATGTTGGTACTTTTATTAATACTGGCCTGCAATTTTCGTCAACTCTTTCGGGCTTTGGCATCCAGAGAACAGAACTAAAAAATGCCTAAAGATTTGAAATTAAATCGAGGTCCCACAGTCTGTTTTTAAAGCATTGGGTTTATTCTTTCCAAAGTTATGACGTTTGTCAGGAATACTGAAATCTTGACAGTATACAAGCCTGGGCAAATTGCTCTAAGCTGGAATTTGGCCTTGCTTTGAACAAGGGGATAGAACCTCCAGGGACCCTAACAATCCTTCTTATTCAACAATTCAATGTTTCTGTATTCTTATCCCACTTTACATGATCTGTCTGGGAAGCTTTGTCTCTTATTGAATGAAGAATCAGGCTGACTGTTACTTATGCACTGAAACATCTTTCCCTGGTAATTATTCTTTCATTTAAAATACAAATACATTTTAGAAGAAAGCCTAGCTACTTTCTGCTATTGTTTTCCATAGAATGTATTTGCTACAACCAACACAATCTGGCTGCAGAAGTTTTAATTCCTGTGGCCATTACGTAGTTCAAAGCAGCTTTCACAACAAAATCTCGACAAGCTAGACATGTCCAATGACAACGGCCTCCATCACAGTTTATCCAGGAACAAGCACATCTGCTGTCATCTGACAACCAGTTGTCTTGGTCCTGTCAAAGCAAGGACTGCAGTAGTGAATCCACCATTCCTATTTCTTTAGCATTCCTAATGCTGCTCCAGTTTGGACTTCCTCTTTTCCTTCCTTGGCTGACCTGTACCTTACTGTCTCCTCTCCTTGACTTGGACCGTTTTGCCAGAAAGGGAGTAAAGTTGATGATGGAGAAGTAACTCGGCCAGATGACAGGAAAAAACAGCAGTCTCCAGCTGGCTGCTGCAGGGCAGTCCTAGAAGGGGGCTTTACACAGACTTAACAGCATAGGGAGTATCTTTCCTTGACAAGCAAGAGGAGGCTCCTCAAATAACTAGACTAAAACCAGAGCAGGCCGGCACGCATGGCCAGAGAGAGCACAAGCCTGACGAGCCACTGGTGCTTGCTCAGTTTGCTACTAACCACTGCTGGCTTGCAGGCCGTAGGCTCTCCCTTCCGTCACCGAGTGAGAGGGGAATGACTTGCACCATGTGATGGCCACTCTTTACACTCATCCATCAACTACTGCATACACAAATGGTGCGTAATAAGCTAGAAATTGTTAGCTGCAGATGAAACTCTTCGGATACCAGACCTCAGGAAAGCTGAGAGGGCAAAGCAGATGGGATATCTGTTCGTCCTCTCACTAGCAGAATATCATCCTTGCCAGGATTATCAAGGAATCCATTTGCTACTCAACTCACACCTTTTTTTTATATAAAAATCTTTCTTTTCCTGAGAATTGAATTTTAAGTTATATGTGAAATACTCACATACTTGCATAAAATATCTCCCTGGTGCTTCATGATATGTGATGTTTTCAAGGGTTTTGAAAGACTTTCCTCTACATGCAAGCCAAGTGTATTTAAAGAATAGAAGCAGGGGAAAATAAATAGAAATAATAAATAAATACAGAGAAACTTACTTTTCAAGAAGAACCTCTTGTGAAGGTTCACTCACAGGGAAGACAAGAAATGCCTATTCTCCAAACAGGCAAAAACTGGTGGGAAGGAGGGAACAAAATTAGTAGAGCGAATACACCATCTGGGAGACCCTTCAGTCTGTTTTCTCAGAGAGAGGAAGTTGTCCAATTTCTCTGGTTTGGATGGAAATACCCATATGTTACAATTTCTGTTCAGAGAAATATACTGCAGAAATCCCATCTACTAAAATTATTTCTGTAACATAAACCAGAGTTATCTTTACGGATCTGTTGTTAATTTTAAAGCACTTCAAATATTATCCGCTAAATATATCTAAGCATTCTGAGGTGCTATGTCTTCTAGCAACTCCAGATTTCCCAGTGTTAGAAATTCACATACACACACACACACACACACATAAAAAAAAAAATCCAGCAGAGCAGTGGAGGAGATAAATTATGTTTTGAAAGAATGGTTTTAAAATCATATAAAAATACTTCCCTTCAGAAATCTCACAGAAGCTCTTTAATCACTTCTGCTTCTCCAAGCAAACTGCAATCTCTTCTCCAGCACAGAGCAGGAAACACAAGAGTCTCCTGTGGCCCCCCACAAACAGCTCCAGCAGCTCTGCTGCACTCTTCCTCAGCAGGAATGGCTGGATTTTTCCAGCTTGTGCTAAGCACAATACGAGGAGGAAAAAAAAAAAACCCACACAGTTTTACTAATCTGACAATTGTACGGACTACATTCAGAGCGCCGGCAGCTTTCGTATGTTCAACCTGTTTCGTGCCACATTTCTGCTACCATTGGATGGCTTTTAACAAGGGGCATTTCCCTGTCAACTCTAATCAACGGGTGGCTTCGCACGAGAGTTACACAATGTGACATCCTGATCCACGCTTGAGTCCTGGTCAGCTGTATCAGCTGCTCTGGAAAACGCCTCAGTGCGTTCTTTTGATACAAACACAGTGTTTAATGGGATAGGCAATGAGGCTATTTCTCAAAGATATCCCAGGAAATGCTATGCACAGAAGAGAAAATCCACCACGTACGCAATGAATATTTGTGTTGTATGTTGTTTCACAAGTAACCAATATCAAGCACACTGATTTTTATCAGCAGTTATTATTATACTATTTAGCACGAGTCCTTGACTGATCTCTCACAATCCCCTACAATCATAAAAAATACAAAAAAAAAAAAAAAAGGGAGTTCATGGGTCTCTGATCATTCAGTTTGACAACTCATATAATAGTATTGTGCAGTGTTAAATAATAATAGTAAAAAATCAATAGTTGATGCTTTTTTTCTTCTCCCTCTGGTAAATAAGCAGGGAAGACATTATCCATATAGGTATCTAACATGGTTGACTTTATTCAGCATTGTCACATTGGCTGTTAGGAAACTTCCTACATTTTTTGCAAGTGCATATTCAGTATGAACAGGCTCCATTTCCTCTTAACAATACAATTTGCAATACTTTTTGTTATCTCAATAACTCAGGCACCAGCTAGTAGTGGAAAATGGTATGAATATTGGAGAATGCCTTATTGAAACCACACTATCCTGAATGCCTTTCATTCTAGCTAGGGGCAACTACAGTGCTGATATGAATCTTAAAAATGACTGTGATGTAGAAAAAGTGCTTCATCAGTTAGGCTTGTGGACACAAGCAAAATCCTTTCCCAAATTTCCCGGGACAGATGTTATTCTTATATATAATTCATGAACAATTGATATAGCAATACACTGAATGACTACTTAATGTGACATGCAGTTGTGGGTTGTTTTGCAGTTGTATTAAGAATAAAACTAATAAAGGACTATGAGGCTGATCTCTTAATCTCTGTCTTGATTTAAACAGACCATTAATCACTAAGTCACTAAACTAAATCACTAAGTAAAAAGAGATGGCTTGAAATTTGTATTTAAATGGTAACGAATTTAATTTTGGAAATACACCATTTAAACATAATTAGTTCCTTTTAAAACTATTTTAATTTGATTCATAACCTGCTTGCTTGGGTTTTTTTAAAGTATTTTCTCCTATACTATTTCCTTACAGCCAATGACTTTTCCTCGCTGACTCTGAAACCAAAAGGAATGATCCACAGCAATATGAATTTATTTCACAATAGAAATGGTCTTAATGTCATTATTTTAGAGAAAGGTTAGACATTATCTTCTTTATTAATAGGGTTTTTTTTTTTTTGGTGACTTCCTCAGATAAGATAGAGTTCTGTTTCCCTACTGTAGATTTTGTGTTCTTTAGAAGGTCTTTTGAGAATAATTGAACAGGCTGTAGGACATTGATTCTAGAATATGACTTGAAAAGATATATAATGATAAATAAATAAAAAGCTTCCCACGATTTCTTACTATAATCATAAATTTTTAATTATATGGCCTACAGATATGCCTACTATTTATCTTTAAACTTGTCATATTAACAGCCAGTAAGGTTTTGTATTAGGTTTCTGAATGTCTGAAGACAACACTGTGGGAGTTTGCCTCTTTGCTTTGCCTGCTTCTGTATGTTGGAATATAAGAAATTAAAATGAATCCAAAAAATAAAAGCACTTGGCTTAAAAAGAAAATACTATTGTACTGAAAGTGACACATTCAAAATGACAAATGCCCAAAATATGGCAGAATTATTTTTCTTAGGACACAATTTCTGTTTTACATAATTTGGGAGGGGCCAGAAGGGACTTTTTTTTAAAAAAAAAAATAATAACCTCAGTTACATCATTCAGTGAGAACTATATTATGCATTACAATAAGTTCCAATTAACCTTCAAAATATGATTTAAATAGAGAGCAATAGCTTTGTCCTAATGGAGTGGAAAATAATCCAAGAATGAAAGAGAAAGGAAGCAGCACTTCTTTCTTTTTCAGACACTGTTAAGAGCAACCTATCTAACACTTAAGAATGTTTCACTTGGTACAACCTGTTTCAGACTTTTCTGAGGATATGACTATATACAAATATATTCCTGTATTGTCTAAATATGTTAATACTAACACAAAATGGTGCGTGGGGAATTATACAGAGCAATACTGATACTAAAATTTGCATATAGTTTGCCTGTAGTTGGTAATAGAGTTTTCTCTTTTATTGCTGCTCAGAATTTGTGTCGTTGTCCTATTCTGAAAGGAAAATAGTAAGAAACAATTGTATTTACTTCATTAACAGAACATTTGCATACCACATGTGGCAAAATAATCCAACATCAATAGAGATCCCCACTTATAAAACAACTTTTCCAGGCCTGGTCTTCCACCAGAACACCCCTTTTGAAAAGCTGTCAGCCAAAAGCTCATCTAGTTGATGTTACAGATAGTCCCAAAGAGTTTAAGAGGAGAAGGGAGGGTTTCAGGAAACAATACATTCATCTGCTTTTACTAAAATGTGAGAAGAACATTTTTATTCACTAAAATACATATTTAAAAATATATTGCTGAGATAAAGTATTTTATTTTTGCAATATAAACACATTTTGCATATTAAGTGAAGGTTGATACTCGCTTTTCGCTTGATCTTATTATCTATAACTAGAATCACAATGATATCACAAAGCAAAATGTCATTATCATTATATTGAAAAGATAGTGAACACCTGAAAAGCGATGCTTTGAAAATGTGATATTAGCAGATCTTGCTGACTAAGTTGTACGCCTTCACACTGGCACTGAATGATCCCTACAGATTGGTGCCTATTAGGAGACATTAGCTTCGATCCTAACTTGTGTAGCCCTCTGACAAGATTTTGTACTTAACAGGAAAAGACTGCTTGGCCTGATTTATATAGAGAGAAACTAACTGTAGACTCCTAGAAAATTTGTTTTTAACTGCATTTTTTTTTCAGTTTGGCTGCACCAAACAGCCATATTATCAACTGACATTATCAACTTTGATAATAAACCTTTGCCCATAATCTAAGCTCATTGCAAACCATGACCTTTATAGTATAGATGTGGAACAAAATATTTAGAAATAATTACATATCTTCATTTGAATATTTCTGCTGCAAATGTGATTATAAGAAGCATCACAGCAACTCTGCTTCATCTAGCAGGGCTTCACAGTAGCACAGTAACAGCTTGCAAACAAACTGCAAAAAAAAATACTGCAGGCTTGTGGGTAATTCTAGACAAAGATGCATGAGATAAAATTGCAGATATTTAAATAAAGGATTGCAGATATTTAAATAAATGGATTGAGTTAATTTGTGTTGAACAATATGCACAGCTGCACTCTGCCAAAAATTCAAGAAAATTTACCGCTATTATTTTATGCCACTAAGGAATACACTAAGGAATCCTCTTAAGCAACAGCAGCTTTGAGTGTTAGTCCGGAGATATCTTCCTAACTGCTGTAAATGACTTCAGAATTGTCAGAGATCCATGAAGTGCCATGCTACTAGTCTCAGTGCCAGAGTATTTTGCTGGTGAGATTTGCTGAACTCAGATGAAGGTTTATAAAGGACTTAAGCTTCAAGGAGATTATTATGAATTGCTCTGGTTTTAACATGTTGTTTAGCAGTGAAATGTGATACATTTTACACAGCATGGACTCCCACTGAAAGAGGTTTAGCACTAGTTGACAGAAGACTTCCCGAGAGGAACAGAATCCTCATGGTTTGAAACTGTATATACAGTGATAATGCAGAGACTACAGTCTGTAAGGAGCCAGTTTGTTCTAATTCTCTTTCCAAAAGAAAAAGAGCACAGCTACAGTATTTTGACACCATGTGTAACAACTGAAATGTTAAGCAAATTCAAAATGTTTGGAGTATTTACGTTTGAGCAAATCATAAAATATAAAAGGAAATCACTGCTTCAGAGTTTTCGAAAGTATTCTGACGTATCCTGAAACACATCTTGCCTAATTAAACTAACTTTAAAGAAAATAGAGAAAGCACAAAAGGGAATTCCAAAGATTTAAAAAGCAATACAGTCCTTAGAGGGTCCTTACACTTGAGTTCGCCTGGGTTAATGTAGATTGATAACTGAGACCAGATATTCCTATTTTCTTAACTGGTTATAACAAACTGGAATATTAGTTTAAGTGCTTTGTTACATGATGTAAAAGACTAGGGAAGTTAGAAATCAAAACACTATCAAACTTTGGATTTCACTTAAAGTAATATAAATCCCAACAGCAACATAGCAGCTTTCTCTGAGTGTCCCAAAGGATACCGTTTTTTTATGGTACAGTATGATGAGTAAGATCCTTGTCTGAGCTCTATGGAACAAAGCAGGGAATGAAAAATATTTATTGCTTACTCCTAATTAAGAACTTCGACAGAACCAATACATAACCAAGCAAGGACATCTTAAAATATTTTCTTAAAAATACTTTCCTAATAAATCTTTTCTGTTTTCATTTTACTTAAAGCAGGTAAATGGGAAGTTTCTGAACACTCCATGTGCCTCTTCCCCCCCTCCAAAAGGCATATGAAAAAGACGAGTTAGTAGATGACCTTACTTAATAGACATTACAGGGTGACATATTTCACAAAGGCCTCATTTCCAGTGTGCTGAATGCATGTGCTTTGAAAAAAAAAAAAAAGTCAGAAGAAAGAAGAGAGAAATGTAAGAGCTATTTAGAAGCTGGGAAACATTTGTTTTTATTTTTATTTTTCATTTTTTACTTATGCTTATGGAACGCTCCGCATTGGAAGCATCAATATGGCATACTGTTGTTTTTTAGCCCACTAGACCACAGTTCATAGGGTTACAAATACTGCACTAGTAATCAGTGCAGAAGGCAGCATAGCATCTGCTGGGAATCTATATAACTCCCTCAAATCTCTGCAAACGCAAACCATATTTGCAGTAAGTTAAAATATACTGTATTCCTTGGGCTTGGCTTTTTGACAGAAGGAGCTCTCACTGAAATTACATAAAATTAGTTCTAGCATCTTCTGCAGGCTGCGATGATTACAGTCTTCCTTGAGGACTTCGGAGCTCCCATTTTCCTTTGTCTTTCTGAAGGGCACCCTCAGAACGTGCACCCCAGAGGACACTTCCTACCAGCTGCGCTGGATGCATTTTGCAATAGAAGACACATCGATACTTCAAACTGCTGCAGTTTACAGGTTACTGAGCCAGGTCAGGCACTGGAATCAATCTACCTGTGACAGCAAGTATTTCTGCGGGAGCTAATTTAATCTGGTTTTCATGAGATTCAGACAAAGCTACCTACAATTTCACACTACATCATCCTGCACTTACATCCTTAAGATTTATAATCGGGCCAATATATCCTGCCTCTCTGTAACCAGTGCCTATACAGCATTATGCTACAGAACTCTGCATTGAAATGGGACAGGAGATATCTTAGAAAACAGTACAAGTTTTATCTTTCAATCTCCAAGTTTCCAAACTCAGACACATCTCAATTTGAACTAGGCAATTCAGAGGATAAGTAACCCCCCCCCAAAAAAAAAAAAAAAAGAGAGACTTTTATCTCCACTTACTCAAAACTTTATGCCGATGTTGCTATTGACATTGTGCCTGGCTTTTCTCCTCCACATGGAGCCTTGCAAAGTTTTGTCAGGTCCAATAACATGCTGCGTGTCTGAAGCAGCAGAGCTTGTAGTGAACCTACAGCTTTGACAATCTTTAACTTTAATGATTTTAGTCCTGATAAACTCCCAGTGAAATTTATGTTAGGTGGATTCACCAGACCAAGGGACCACTGCCAAAATGCAACCATGCACCATATAGCAAGCATCAAAGCTTTGGATACCAGATCAAGACACACGATCAGACAGAGCCCTTTAGAGGAACGTTTTTACAGAAGCAATTCTTCTCTTTGACAAGGTTATCTTTTAAAGAGTTATCCACTATTAGGGTGGAACCTGGAGGGATGTTTCCAGATTATAGATTAGCTGAAAAAGCTGTTTTTATAGATTTTAAATCAGAATGCTGATTTTATAGATTAGTTGAAAAATATGTCCTTAAAGAAACAAAAACCTTCTAGACACAGACCTAAGATTGATCTCTGATGACAAAGCTGCTTTCTTGGATCACATACAGAGCATGAATTCAGTTACATGAGAGCTATTCGCACCAGATCGAATAAGGGAGTACTGCGGAAAGGACTGTGAGAATATACCTATCCCTAAGTGAAATTCCTTTGGCCCAGTGATTCATGGAAAATTTTCTGATTTTGTTCAGCCAGTCCATGTGATTTTTTTTCTGTGTTAATTAAGCACTTCTCCTATACAACAAAAAGAGACCATCACGCCAACTATGCCGGAATCAGTGCTTTCAGGGATCCCACTCAACTGCATATACAGCTCTGTACAACATTTTAAATGATGCAATTTATGGCATGGGGCGGCAATAAAAGTATTCTTATGACTTTGTGTAAAAGGCCAGAGTGGTTAAAAGCCTTTTGATTAGCAAAATGGCAATAGGGCATATTGCTAGTTCATTAGAAACCAAGATACTGTAAACTAGATACTCTGGTGTAAATCAAGAATGATTCAACGGAAAGCCGTGCAGTGCCAGTAAATATAACGTGAGCAGATCACATTGGCTTTTGTCTGGGTTTTGTTTTAGAGTATAAAAATCTTCTCGGTGTTTCTAAAACTTGTTACTGACTCACCTACTCTATTCCTAAAAATATATAAACCCTGCTCAGAGAAACAACAACAACAAAACATATTGTATCGATTAGGAGATTGTAACACAAACAGCCATTAATTTCTGCTTGGCTTTCATCAGTAGTACACATTGATGCACTGTTACTGAAAAAAAAAAAGTTAAATTATTAAATCTCGTAAAGAACCATTCTTTGTAGTATCTAAATTCAACTGGGCAACATCAGTAAAGGACTATGATGGCACCTAGTAATTCATAAGCACTGTAGATTACTGTTTCCTACCCAAAAAGATAAACTTGTTTTAATACACTGGGATGTGCAGAAAGGGGCAGACAAAACTCAGGGACAGTGCTTTTGAATGCACAGATTGTGGCAGCCTCACTGGCAGGCTACCAAGTCTGAAGGACTTACTGATGCAATATCATGTGAATGAAGTATTTGATACACTCACACTGATGCTATCATGGCCAAATGAGACATTACAATCTCAGATGTGTCTCATGATCTGCAAACATTTCAGGTGAAACTACCAGCTTATTACACCCTTGCTTTTGAAAGAGCTTTATATTGCACCTACCATCAAAAGCAGTCAGCAACCATTTAACCTTGTGAGGCTGAACTCGGCTATTCAGAAAAGGAAACTGAGTGCCATGCATTAGAATTGTCTTCAAAGTTTATAAGACATCTTGCAAAGACATCATAATAGCAATGCCATTAAGCACTAGATCTAAATGGAACAAAAAAAGGCTCTTCAAGGTAACTGCTCTTTGCCTCTTCTAAGCACTCTGTGGTAAATCTTACTCTTAAACTTGTGCAAAGCCACTGAACTCAATCCCTTTGAGTTACTGATGATACACAAGTGTAACTGAACACAGATTACAATTTAACAAGATTTCTATTTCCAATTCTTGAGATTCTTACAAAAGAAAGTATTGAATAAATTTTTGAAAGGAGAGTTTCTGGAAAAAAAAAAAAAGAAGGCAGGAGCTTCATGGATCTCAGTAAGCACAGAATGGACAGTATGGAAGCAAACAGGGAGATCACAGAATCACAGAATGCTTAGGGTTGGAATGGGCCTCTAGAGGTCATCTAATCTAGTCCAACCCCCCTCCTCCAGCAGGGACACCCAGAGCACGTGGCACAGGGTGGCATCCAGGGGGTTTTGAAGATCTCCAGAGAAGGAGACTCCACAACCTCTCTGGGCAGCCTGTTCCAGAGCTCTGTCACCCTCGCAGTAAAGAAGTTCTTCCTCACATAGAGGTGGAACTTCCTGTGTTTCAACTTACATCCGTTACCCCTCGTCCTGTCATCGGCCACCACAGAGAAGAGCCTGGCCCCATCCTCCCTACAATCACCCCTCAGGTACTTGAATGTTAATCACATCTTCTCTCAGCCTTCTCTTCTCCAGACTAAACAGGCCCAGCTCACTTAGTCTTTCCTCTTATGACAAATGCTCCAGTCCCTTAATCATCTTCGTGGCTCTCCACTGGACCC